CCGCAGCAGGGCCCCTAGCTCCAGCAGCGCGACCCTGACGGCTAACGTACCACTCACGCAGCTGCTGTGGGGAGAGAGGGACAGCGCCGGCTCCAGGGCCTCCAACACCAGCGCCTCCCGCAGCAGGGCCCCCAGCTCCAGCAGCTCGACCCTGACGGCTAACGTACCACTCACGCAGCTGCTGTGGGGAGAGAGGGAGACGACGACGAGAGTGCAGCGGCGAGGCACCAGCGGAGACGGCCGCTCCAGGGAGACTGCTCACCAGACGCCTCAGCGCCCCCAGGTGCAGCACCCCCAGACTCAGTACCCCCAGGCTCAGCACCCCATACTCCGCACCCCCAGGCTCAGCACCCCCAGGCTCCACACCCCCAGGCTCAGCACCCCCAGAAGCAGCACCCCGAGCAGGACCACCCTCAGCAGGACCTGAGTCACCAGTGACCTCAACCGGCGCAGTCAAGGGAGGAGGGTCTACCTGAGACACACCTGAAGGAGCAGGACCGGGAGCGGGGAGGGGGTCTACCTGGGGAGCACCTGGAGCGAGGAAGAGCGGCGGGGGGGGGGAGAGGGGCAGTGCGGTAGGGGAAGAGACGGTAAAAGGGAACCAACTCGTCGAACGTGACGTCCTGAGAGGGGAAGACACGGCGCGAGGTGGGGTGGTAAAACTGCCAACCAGGCGCGTCAGGGACAAAGCCAAGGAAGACACAGGGAACAGCGCGGGCGGAGAGCTTGTCCACGGTGGTATCGCGGACAAAGGCACGAGAACCCCAGACCCGGAACACCGATGCATCGCCAACCTTCCCCGTCCACCGCAGTGTGGGCGAGGTCTCCGGCAAGGAGACATGGGGCCAGAGGTTGAGCTGATGGGCGGCGTAGCGGACCGCAAACGGCCACAGAAAATGGGGGGCAGCCGCATGAACCAAGGAGGTACGAGCGACCTCCATGACCAAGCCAATGCGGCGCTCAGCAACCCCATTCTGCTGCGGAGAGGCCGGAAGCGTGAACGTCTGGCGAATGCCCTCCCCACGACAAAAGCTCTGCAGTAGGTCAGAGGAAAACTCCCCACCTCTGTCAGAGTGCAGACGCAGAACAGGAAAGTCCGTCCCGAACCGCTCGCGGAGCTGGAGACGGGCAGCGCGGATCCAAGGGATCAAAACATCAGGGACCTCACCCTTGGTGCGCAAGGGGAAGACCGTGGTGTAACGCAAGTAGTCGTCGACAACCAGCAGAAAGTACTGCTCGCGGCCCTGTCCAGTGACGCGGGCTGGGCCCCACACGTCCATGTGCAGGGTCTGCAGGGGAGCAGTCGTCGGGGGAAACGAGGAGGAGTGAGGAGCGGCGCGCTGCCGCCCCTCGACACAGGGAAGATAGGGAGGAGCAGGCGAGGGTGGGAGGGGAGGGAGAACCCTGGGAAGACCAGAGACAAGGACCCGGCGGTGCATGCTACGAAGGCGCTGCACCGAGGGGTGACCAAGACGGTGGTGCCAAAGGAGGGTCTAGTGCAACAAAGCACGACACGAGCAGGGGGCCGCTAGCTGACCTGACGCAGACGCAGACGCAGCGACCTGAGGGGACACAGTAGTCAGTGTGTACAGACTCGAGCCAGGCGCACGGGTAAACGTGGCTAGGTGCCGGCCTGTCCGGGAGCACGTATAGTGGGTCACGCGCTGACCTCCAGGAGTGAACTGGTCAACCCACTGGTCCTGGAGGTCAGCACCACTCACCAAGTTCGTAGAGAACGAGGGGAGGTGAAGACCTGACAGGGAGCCAGACGGGACCGCCGGACACGGCAGGACCGTGGAGGAGTGCGCAAGGACTGGACCCCCAGAGGGGTCTGCCAGGGAGACTGCAACCGGCCGACTGAGCGGCGTGAGGGTGGTGCTGTCGCGAAAGAAGGAGCGGGAAGCACCTGAGTCAAGTGTGAAGGTGTACAAGGCCTCAGCAGGCGCAGTACCAGAGAGAGCAGACTCACCAGTACCTGGAGCAGCAGCCTCACCAGCACCTAGAGCAGGAGACGCACTAGCACCTAGAGTAGGAGACGCACTAGCACCTAGAGCAGCAGCCTCACCAGCACCTAGAGCAGGAGACGCACTAGCACCTAGAGCAGCAGCCTCACCAGCACCTAGAGCAGCAGGCTCTATACCTGGGTCAGGCGGTACGCACAGGTAACAGGCACCGTCAGTACTAGTAGGCAATGCATACATGGCAGTGAGAATAGCATCATAGTCAAGAGCAAAGATATCTACCCTCTGCCTAAGTAGCTCCAGCCAGGTGGGGAGCTCAGCCTCGTCGCCAAACTCGGTACGCCAGGCGTCGCTCAGACGGGCGAAGTTGCGGGACTGTGTGTGACCAAGCGTCCCGCAAGCCTGACCAGCCCGATCACCTGTGCGAATGACGTACGGGCAGCGAACGGTACTCTGAGACCCTCTACTCTAAGCTGCTGGGGCGTAAGTGTCTCGCGCGGACGCCGCTGCAGCTGCAGCTGACCACTGCCAGACGCTCCCGACTGACCAGCTCCAGGGCGACAGCCACGACGGCTACCGCCACAACCCCAACTAGCGTACCACTCACGAAGCTGCTGGGGCGTGCGAGACTCGCGTGGACGTCGCTGGAGCTGCATCTGGCCACCACCAGTAGCAGCAGTAGCAGTAGTAGCAGCAGTAGCAGCAGCAGCAGCAGCCTAGCAGTAGTAACAGAAGTTGCAGCAGTAGCAGCAGTAGCAGCGCGGGCAGGGCAGGCGCGGCAGGCAGGCAGATGGTGCGGCAGCGCGCTAACAAGGCAGGCGCGCGGGAAGCGCGGGTAGGGCAGGTGCTCACCAGTGGCGGGAAGGGCAGGCGCTCGCCGGGCGAGCAGGGCCGGCGCTCGGCGGGCAGCTGCAGGGTAGGCGCACGACGGCGAAGTTGGCGGGGCCGCAACAGCGGCTGCAGAGTAGGGCCGCGTCAGCTGCAGGGCTGGGGCCACGACAGCGGCAGGGCAGGGCCGCGGCAGCTGTTGCAGGGCGGGGCTGTGTCGGCGGCAGGGCGGGGCCAGGTGGGGCCGCGTCGGCGGCAGGGCGCGGCCGCGACAGCGGCAGGGCGGGGCCGCGTCGGCGGCAGGGCGGGGCCGCGACAGCGGCAGGGCGGGGCCACGTCGGCGGCAGGGCGGGGCCGCGACAGCGGCAGGGCGGGGCCGCGTCAGCGGCAGGGTGGGGCCGCGACAGCGACCTGGCGGGGCCGCGTCGGCGGTAGGGTGGGGCCGCGACAGCGGCAGGGCGGGGCCGTGACAGCGGCAGGGCGGGGCCGCATCAGCGGCAGGTCGGGGCCGCGTCAGCGGCAGGGCGGGGCCGCGACAGCGACCTGGCGGGGCCGCGTCGGCGGCAGGGCGGGGCCGCGACAGCGGCAGGGTGGGGCCGCGTCAGCGGCAAGGCGGGGCCGCGACAGCGGCCAGGCGGGGCCGCATCGGCTGCAGGGCGGGGCGGCGCTCTGGCCTGACGGGCCTGCAGGGGAGGCTCGCGGGCCTGACGGGCCTGAAGGGGCGGCGCGCTGGCCTTACGGGCCTGCAGGGGCGGCGTGCTGGCCTTACGGGTCTGCAGGGCGGTACGCGCGTAGGTAGGGCAACAGTAGGCAGCGCGAGAGCTGCAGGACGGCGCGCGCAGCGCAGCACGTCACAAGGCAAGGCAGGGGAAGGCGCGCGCAGGACAACACGTGGGGTAGCGCGGTAACCGCAACGGTAGGTGGGCCCGAAAAAAAAAACGGTCCTACGGACCTACTGCTCTGAAACCATGTTAGAATCTAGCAGCAGGAATGAATTGACTAGATCAGGGTTTGATACAAATATGAAACCCTAATGGGGTTGTACCCCATGTTGGCTACCCCACTACAGCCTACACATATATAACATGCATATAATTTGACAATGGACCCCAGGCATATACTCGTTTTCATCACGTCACTCTTCCATGGCTTCTTCCAAGCCGTTTTTGCGCCAGTTGTAGTTGCTCTGGCAGAACTTCTGCCACACGTCCTACTGTATCACGTTCAACAACGACAACTTATTGGAGATAGGCGACAGGCACGTGCTAGATGGATAAATCTCATATCGTCTATGCCTGGCCAACGTTTCTACGAGCATTTCAGGCTTGAGCGGGACGTCTTCAATTATATTGTCTCTCGCTACTCTCGATTCCGTGTTTATAACTGGGCGTCAAACATGCCACCTCAGTACCGTGTTGCTATTGCACTTACGCGAATGGCTCAGGGCTGGAGCTACCGCGCCCTTGGTTTAACTTTTGGCGTTAGTCACGTGCATGCAATGAGACTAGCCGACGAGTTCAATGTCTTCGTACGCGAGGACCTAACACCGAGTGGGTCACCTGGCCTAGCATGATGGACGCGGACTGCATGGAGGTGGAGTTTAGACACAAGTCAGGACTGCCGGGCGTGGTGGGCATCGACGGCACTTAAATTCGTTGTCGCGGATTTTAAGTGTGCAATGCCGAGGATTTTAGGAACCGCGACCATTGCGGAAAAGGGTTCGGCCAAATTTCGAGTTTAAGTCCGGAGGCTGCAGGAAAGTTGCGGGAAAGTTGCAGAAAAGTATCCGGAAAACAACAACCCAAAATTCCAACTTCTCCAGTTTGCCACTAAGTCCCGCACACCGAGTCGCAGATGCGGAAGACGGACCTTGTGCGCGTCGGGGAATTTCGCACATCTACAGATGCGGCTTGACGAAAAAGCACACCCTGGCATCGCATACAGAGTACATCCGATACAATGTTGTGTGACCAATACAGCGACCTCTACCTGAATGTGCGCGTTCTTGTCCGATAAGGCAACACACATGTTCAACACCCGTAGGTCTGTCTTCCATATCAACTTAAAAACATACATATTTCTTCATGACGGATACAAATCTGGCAATCCACACACACTCATTGTAGCCGATACAGCAGAGGATGCCCTCTCCCACGCCCACCTACTCACACCCCCACATAGAGTTCCTCGAAGCAGCCCCACACGATAGCCCTAGACCAAACGGACAACGCTCTCCTTGTCATCCTCCTTGGGGAACAACACCCCCGCCTTCTGAACGTGTCCTTCCCAATTTGAAGCATCTGTCGTGATCCCTTCATCACTTGTACTGCCGGCCCGAGTGCGCTTAGTAGGCGTGCGGCGAAGGCGGCTCACCACCTCCTCATTGACGAATCCGGCCTCCTTTGGCACGTCACGCAGCTGAATACCCAAGGCCTCCGCATGTTTCACAAAGCCGCCATGTACCATGCCGCTTACGTGGCGACAGCTGCGGCTGTCCCGCATGAGAGGGCCCTCCGGGATGCAGAAGTATGCCGAGATCTCATCCTCCGACTCGGCCTCCTCCCCCCCCGCAGGCGCCCACTTCCCAATGAGGTCTTCATCGCACCCCACAAAATCCCACGCCGTCATGAACACACGCATGTTGCACTTGCTCTTGAACTCTTCGATCACCAGCTGCAAACTCGTCAAATTAAGCACCAGGCCGTCAAACATCCCAGCCGCGGCTTTCCCTTTCAGGCGGTCCATACGCGACAGCCAGCCTCTCGGAGCGCAACCGGCTCGCCACCAGCTCCTCTGAATTGTCCCCGGCATCGTCAACTTGCCCACCATGAACAGCTTGCCCAGGACATCGTGCAGCAGCGGGCGCGGAAACATGCCCGCACGGATCCATTCCGGGCTCGCGACCGCCTCTCGCATGAACCGCGTCCGGAACACCGCTTTCAATGTGTCCACAACGCCATTCAGGGCCGAAAACGCTGCAGCCGGCAACACGCCAAACGTCTGCACAACTTTCACGCGTGTCAACTCCTCCACGAGGAACCCCTCCACTACGCTAGTCTGTTTCACACATCCGGTAAGGATGTGCGTCGGTTTGTGGACCAGCACCATCGCCTTCTCGTTCTTCGCGTATAGTTCCCCGTTGAAATGATCGATGAACTCCGTGAACAACTGCGCATACAACACGGGTGCCCCGGGCGGGCCGACATGAGTGCGGAACTTCGTCCAACAAGTTGTCCAACCCTTAATGCCCTGTGCATCCTACCCTCCCCACAATTGCTGCCGCTCACCTCTCTCGAGAATCGCCCATTCTTGGCGTAGCGCACTTGGACCGCATGTTGCCGCTTGCGCCCCTCGTGTATGGGCCTCTTGTCATCCCGTCGGAGAACCACGAGCGGCAGTTTGCGGATACATCCTGTCGCGTTGTAAAAAAAGCATACGGGCATGTGCCACTCCCGCGACAGCTGCTCGCGCTCGTCCTGAGACGCTGCTAACAGAACCCGTGTGGGGATTAAAAGAAACTCTGTGAACGTGAACACCTTTTCGGGCGGTGCCTTCAGCGCCTCCAAAAGGGTTACAAGGGACGCCATCCGGAAAAAGCATGCAGAAACGGAAGCAAAGCCATGATCCCGCCAATTACAGGTTAATCAACCTACAGCATCAGCCCCGACACAGCTGCGGGATTGGGAACAGGTCCACCAATGTGCCACATCAGCATCTCATTGGACACCTGTACTCAAAACGCGATCGCCCCAGCAACCACCACCAACAGTATCCACCAATGGTACAAAACTGCGCATCGTTCGGATTGCATCCACTTTACAACCAAACTACTTTCCCTGTCCGACTCTCGTTCCTGCCAGACACCTGTCCCTCGGTACACGAAGCCGCAACATCCACGAGTTCACCGTACCTTGGAATGAGTCACGACTGCGTTCGCGATACAGCATACTCCCCCAAAAAACGAAATATGCATACACTCGCGGTTTAGCCCACAACGATGCTGGGTTAAGGTGTGCCCAATATCCCTACTCGAGTTAACAAATCACACAGCTACGTCTACAGAACGGGGTGAAGCCCTCGCTGGCATTAGGGTTGCCAGCCTGGCGCACGACGTCTCGACATCTACATACCCCGGTATGGACCGGGTTCCTAATGCACGCATTACTCGCATGCAATTCAAGTCAGCTAAAGTCATGACCTGGGAGATCACTCCACAACCTCCACAACGACTCCCACAATGCCGCCATATCCGCCCACCCACAAATCACTCGCACAACAAAAACTTGTTGAGTAGCAACACCTGCGGGTTGCTGAATGAGCGGCATATGTGCACAACTCGCAGAATGCTCTCCACTGCCACCTCTGTATGTCTTGTGTCCTTGTGGGACAGTGTGAGCTGCACGCAGGTGGTGAGAGGGCAGATCCCCACCCGTTCATACCACCGCACGTACACAAACCCCTTCCGTTGGCCGTCAGCTGTGGCCACCTTGAAAATACACAGCGCCTTGGCGTACCACTCCTCCTTCTTGGGCGACTTCACTGCAAAGTCAGTGAACCATTTCTTCTTGGGGCTTGCCTTGATGAACGCGCCCTTCGAGACCAGTGCCCCACCTTTTGTGCGTGGAATCGCCACAGTTGTGTGGGCCTGCAGTAGTGGGGCAAGGGTAGCGGACAGCACGCGTTGTCGGAAACTCCTCTCTGCTGCCCCTCTTCTCCCACCACTGCTTCCCTTGCTGCAGGCTCAAACTCTCGCAGAGCCCCATCTGCTGGCCTTCCTCACTCCTGCTCCCCTTTCTCTTGACGCTCACCACTCTGTTCTGCCTCCTTGGTAGTTGCAACTCATGACCATTCCTTGGTAGTTGTTAACTCAGTAGGTGTTAGCAAGAAGCACACGGGCGCACCAGTAAACAACATCGCATGTCACCACAAGTGCGGAATTCACAGGCTGGTGTTTACGCACCACGATCTCTGATGCTGTGATGTTCGCGGCCACCATGCACCCTGGCAGCGAGTCCATGAGGTCTCCCAGCGTCGTACGGTAGGTGCCCACAGCGTCACCCTCCACCTCCGGTCGCATCGTGCGGCCCTTCTTCGTGAGCACAGGCTTCATCGTCTCAACAGCCTGCCGTGGTGGGCATGCAAAATGTACAACAACCAGAGGTAAGAAAATCCCCGAGAAGACCGTGTGTCCAGTGGGGCACGTCAACATACAAGAACAGCACCCCTGTATCTTGGGACATACTGTCTCACCTCGCGCAGCGATGTCGCATACTGACGCCCACCACCTGCGTCCTGTGCCACCTCCCTGCAGATCTCTCTCTGCACCTCCTCCTCGACGATCCGCCGTGGGATGTCCTTCTAGTTACTGCCCATAACATGTATCTTGACAGTGCCCTTGTGGGTATGCTCCCACATCTCTGTGCTGTAGTGGTGCGGCATCCCGCGCATGATCACATTGTCCAGTAAGTGGACAATCATGTGAATATTTGGAAAGCGCCAATGTGAGGCATGGTCCGGGTAGGCCTGCGGCAAAATCTCCACCAGCCTGTGAAATAGCACATCGCAAGTCCAACAGGTGACGACGTGCAAGTCATGGCCAGAAACAGCAATGGCCCCCCATGCATGCATACAGGCCTCCCATTACCCCTACACATTCGCATGCCATCCGTCATACTTGATTGCATGGGCACGGGCGATTGCGACACAGGCCTCCGTGTGTCCACTGACCCCCAGAAACGCCTTGTAGAACGTTGCATACATCCTGAAAGCCCGCACTCAGAGCGCGGCGAGCTCCCCATCGTTGCCTTTCTGCAGCGCAGACTTGTCGGCCACAAGGATGGGCATCACTTGCATCATGCTGCGGTGTTCGAAGACTGCATAGTTGGCACCACTCAAGAAGTAGGAACTGCCTCCAGGTAGCCGCAAAATAACACTCGGTGTCTCTCCTTTGGTTGTCTTCTTGTGCCTGTTGGGGTAGTGTGCCCGGGGGTAGGCACAGAGACGTGGTAGTGTGCTGGACCGTCCACAAAGCCATCGACAATGCAACTATACGTCACATTCCTGGCATATCTGCCGGTTTTTGGACCGTGTGCTGGCCACGGGCACTACTGACCTCTCAACATCTCGCCTCCCTGGCTTGCTAAGAACCGCGATGTGGTTCTCCAGCATGCGCACATGGATGATGTCCGCCACACATGCACCGAACGGGTTTCCCCACTCCGTGTGCGAGAAGTTCCACCGCAACAAAACGCACTGCAGGGGGGTTGTCGGAAGTTTGGGGGGGGGGCACAAGTCTTACACTGCGTGCATGGCATCTGTAGATCCCGCTGCCAGCCCATTATTCACTACACGCATACCTCCACGGGATGGGTTGACCACCCTGTCTGAATCGCTTCCGCATCCTTCACAGTCTTGCACGCAAGCATGTTGCGCAGCACGTGCATCTCAGAGTCAACAGTCCTCGGCGTGGCTTTGTGCTCCAGGTCTCGAAGGAGCTCGTCCGGTACGTAGCATGTGCAGCAGGGCCGCTTAGTACCTATTTGAAGCGTCGCGGTGACACGGCACTGTTCAATGAAGTCGCCAGGGTAACCAAAGAAGCATGGTACGGCCTTCACTGCCTCACCCTGCACGTCCGTGACATAGAAGACTCTTAATGGAACGCTGGCACAGGAAGAGATGGAAATAGGACGGAAAACAAGAGGGGAGTTTCAACCGCCACATACAAAGCGACTAATCAGAAGAATGGTTGGCAGACGTACATACCTAGAAGACTCCCGCATGAGTGGCGCCAGAATGATTCGAATTGCCTCTTGAAACACTCTGGCTTTCTCGGTAGAATTTGCCCATTCGGGGGGGAAAGGCAGCATAGCAGCCAGTGCGTGGCCAGGTTCCGTCCACCGCAGCTCTTCCGGAATGTTGAACAGCGTTATGAGGACAGGCCATGCCTGGCGGCGCCCATTGCGCGGCGCGTTGGTGCCGTCGCTGTAGACAATGACGCCAAGCACCCAAGCAGATGGGTCGTTCACCTCCTGCCACATATGAACATACGCTGTTAAGTCCTCATGGCAACACTATAGCGCAACCGAGCACGATTGTGTGCGAAGATGCCCGTACCTGAGCCTCTTCAAGTCATTTCGCGGTTTCTGGATCGGTGTATACCTGCTCCTTTGTCTTGGGGTCCACAACTGTCCGCGGCTTCGTTACAAACCCTTTGACTCCCCCAAAGATGCACACGAGCTTCTTCACGAGTTGCAATGCACCAGGAGACATGAGATTATGATATGCAAACAAACCTTCTAATGCAATGGCATATAACGGGTTTACGACATACCAACTCCGTGTTCCTATTGTGCAGCGGGAGCTTCTCAAGTCCGGAGGCGCCCTTGCTTCCCCCCATCGCCTCACGTCCAGCCAATTGCGCCAGCGCCGCAATGCACGTAGGTTGAATCTCAGATTTCTGAAGATATGCAACAAGCGGTTGACTTCGCGGCGCGACAGGTCCGCGTCTCTGATGAAGAGATATATCGCAGTAAGGGTGTCAAATATCTCTCCGTCAGAACTCTGCTCGCTACAGGTAGAGTGATCGTCATCATCACTATGTTCTACCTCGGCGGTTGTTGGAGGAGCAGTTCTTTTCTCCGATGACCTCTCGCTGGTGCTGCCACTGGCGGTGGTACCCGCGGGTGTACGGGGAGGGATGCGCAAAAACGCCTGACGGGCCTCCAGATATGCCTCTGCGGGGAGGACTTTCCCACGACCCAGAATCTTTTCTCTACATGCCGCGCTACTAGCCAAGTGCGACTGCAGCCTGTTGTTGTCACGGAACGCCTTTCTGCATCCCCCCCACTCGTTGCCACCCATGATACCACTGCAAACCCTAATCCTGGGGTCCTCGAACTTAGTATACTTATGGAAACGAAAAACATGCACTGTCAAAGAGTTTTCGTTATAAACGGACGTTGTATCCACAACAGTTAACAGTATTACCTTATGCGTGCAACAAATTGTTACGATCGAGCACACCAGGCGGGCACGTCATCAATGGCTTATCGGAGCATGGGAAAGTCCCCCATTAGACCGATGAAACCCTTAAGCGCATTCGAGGTTCACAAAATGCATTGTGCGCAAGCGAGAGCATCTTTACCGAGTACACTTTGTGCATGCCACCGTGATCTGCATGTCATGGTGACGCGACAAATGGCATGCTTCTAGGTTTCCGCGCCAAAATTCGTTTAGATCCATACATCGTTTTTGCATCCGAGTCTTTCCTGCGCAGCCCAACAATGGCCGCTGGACTGTGTTCACGCCGAGTCTGTTTGAACATAAGTTGGACCCTAGAGCATACTCTCCATCATTTCCGACGCTCAGCTTTTCAATAGCTCAAGTGATCCGATCCGACATGTCCCCGCTTGGGCGAGCCCGAGACAAGCAGTGTGCATCAAAAGGCAATTCTCAGCGCGGAGCTAAGGGGGTCAACACAGGCAGCGACGGAGTTGTTGCGGAGGTCGGAACTATTGCGCGATGCCTCCGCAGCGGTAGGAGACAAAAGGCTAACGAAAACGCGACCCAGAAAGAAGGCATGGAAACAGCCGGAGACAAAATTCTCGCGCAACAGTACAAGACCAAGCTGGAGACAAGGGCGGAACTTCCCGCGCAACAGTGTGTTCCCGAGCCAAGCGACCTTGTGTCCCGCCTAAGCGCAGAAAAGCACTTTAAGAAGATGAAGCCCATGACGCTGTTCAACGCGGATGGCGTCGGTTGTATTGTAGAGGCGAACGATATCATTAGCATCGCCGATGGGAAATGTGTCACCGACGCCATCGTGGACTTCCACAACGTGTGAGTGATAAATACCGTTTTTCTTCAACCATGTCTTGGCCTGCCTTGTATCCTGTTCTGTTCTAACAACGCGCGTGTACTGCCTTGTCAATCACCGGATTCTGCGCGCAGGTTGCTGAGCATTCGGCACCCCACTACGCCCAACGGCACTACATGAGCCGCGGTTGACAGCAAGGCTTTCGCCTACGTGAACTCCTTCAATAAGCCTTATCTATGGGCAACTCGGCCAGGGTTTTTGATGTGGACTATTTGGCCATTCCCGCCTTCAAAAGGTGTGTAACGTTGTCGTGAGGCTCCGATTTTTCTAACATCCCCTTGTATTGCATCACTGAACAACCCGACGGGTTGTTTTTTTGCGCCATGTGGCAGTTCACACTACTCGCTCATGATCGTGCCGTCCCCAAAGCAACTGCTGGGCGCCACATCGGTAGATGCGACTCGACCCCTGGAACTGATTTTACTGGACGGTTATGGCACGCATCGAATCAGTGAATTTAACCTTTTAGGGGTCGATGTCTGACTCCTGCTCTGAGTTGTTACTGCCCAGGTTACTGGAACTAACCGCCAAGGATCTACACCCGGAGTGTGACACGACCACTCTTGTGAACGCGCTGAGGGATGCTAAACCCCTTCCCTTGAAGGTGGGTGGTGGATCACATCCTGACCTGGGCTCTGGGCGGGCATACAGACTACATCCATGTGTGCTTACAGGACCTAGTGGGTTTGTACGTGCATGCAGAAGCATAAGGTGCAGCAACAGGACAACCAGCATGACTATGGCATATTTGTATGCCACTTCCTGAAGGTCCTTGTGGATACTGATTTCAAGATGCTGCGCTCGTTTCTGTACTTGGAGGGTGTGAGTGCGATGGAGTTCCGGCGAGGCATGCGGGGAGACTTATGCATGCATGAGGCTGATGAGCTTGTACTGGCGCTCGTGAAACTTGGTGTGGTCGTCCCGAAGCAACCCGCGCCCAAGGTCACTAATCATGGAGCCGTTGTTGACTCTGGAGGGGAGAACGGCAACACAAAGCCGACAAGAATGCATGTGGAGCACTACGGCATGAAGAGGGACCTCGTTATCTGGAAAGCGGCCTCACAGCGGTAGGAGCGGCTATGGGCTACAGTGTCGACCAGCTCCTTGCAGGCGCTGCCCACGTCTTGCAGACGCAACGGTCTCAAGGGGGGGCGGTCACACCTGGCGGCAGGCGATCCACTGCACCGTCAACCCCCAAGCCC